GTTTTGATTTCATTAACTGATGTTTATGTAGTTTTTTGCGCTGATTTCAAAAAGACATTTGTTTTTATCTGTCACGAAAGATTTGCCTACAAAATAAGGATGAAATAATTGAAAAAGTACGAAAAAACGAGGAATTGTGGATTTATTTTCATTTTTTAACATGAAGTAAAAGCAAAAAACAATGCTGTAAGCTAAACTTAGCATAATAGTGATACACAAGTGTTTGCAAAGTGATTATAAGTCTTCGTAAAAACGTTTTCTTTTCGACTGTGTTCTTGTGAATTTTCCCTTTGCAACATCCAAAAGTAGTCTGTCATCATGTTAACATTCCACCGACCTCAATATCTGCGATCCATTTCTTTTATGTCTTGATGGAACCGTTCTCCTTGTTCCTCACTTACAGCCCTTAGATTTTCGGGAAAGCAGTCCAGATGTGAGTGAAGGAAATGGACTTCGACACTCATGTTGCAGCCCAACATTTTGTAGTTTTCTATCAATTCAGCAACCCAAGTTTTGTAGTTTGTGTCTTTTTCGTTTCCAAGAAAGCCTGTTATAACAAGTTCAAATGAATTCCAGGCATTTTTTCTTTCATATCCATTTTAGTGACAAAGCTTTCATCTCTCAAAAGTTTTCTTATGTCAGGCCCAACGAAGACTCCTTCTTTTAGTTTAGCATCGGATAGACCAGAAAACTTTTCAGAAAGATATTCGAAACAATCTCCTTTTTTTTCTAATGCTTTCACAAACTGTTTCATTAGCCCCAATTTGATACGGAGTGGTGGAAGTAATATTTTTTGAGTATCCACTAAATTTTGTTTTTCAACATTTTTAACTCCAGGAATAAGACCCTTTCTTATTGGCTACACCTGCTTGACATAGTGTTGTTTGCTGTCACGGCTATCCTATTCACATAGGAAATATAGTGTAGTGTAACTTTGTTCACCTAGTAACATTGAAATAACTTTCAAGTTTCCACAAATGGTCTACTTATGATCAGAGTAGCTGAGCTTATTAAGAACAAATTCAAAATTTTCGTAGCATTCTTTCAAATGAACACACAACAGGCACAGAAGCATATTGATTCCCATTGTGAAGAAGTACAGCTTTCAAACTTCTTTTTGATGAATCGATGAAAAGTCTTCATTTCTCTTATTCATACGTTATGTTGAACATTTCCATGACGCCGGGTACATTGTTGCAGAAAACTAGGTCACCCTCTTTCGTAAAAAAAGAGATTTTTTTTACTATTTTTTCCGTAATCTGCACACAAAATACTGTTAAAATCACTAGTTGAATATCCTACAATTTTTTCATCGCAGACCTGTGTAATTCGCGTTGCTTTATTTTTTGTAGAATTTGTAGTCTGTCATAATTGGATATGTTCATTATAGAACTGCAATAATTGAAATGGGGCAATATTATACTATTGTGCACTGTTATCCGACTTCATTGAGATAATGATACGTCACAAAAGTTTTGTCCGTCTACTTTGAACTGTAATATTTCAGTGTAAACGTATTCAACTCGATGGAAATGAATGCCATTTGAATCAGTACACTTTCTTCAACGTAACACAATTCGAATAATTCCGTCGGCATGAAAATTGTGTGCTCGTGATTCGAAGGAGTCAACGAAGGCCGTTTTTGCCTGGTCCTGATTGACGAAGTTTCTACCAGTGTGAAATTTATCGAAGTACTTGAAAAGATGGAAGTCGGTTGGCGAGAGATCTGGGGAGTATGGTGGCTGAGGTAGAACTTTGAAACTCTATTCTTCCAATTTCCGGACGTTGATTTGTGGAACGTGAGGACGGGCGTTGTCGTGGAACAAGATCGGACCTTTTCTATTGACCAGTGCCGCCCACCACTAAAACAATGCTCTATACATTTTGCCGATTTTCTCACTAAACAGGTTTCTGTTGTGATGGTTTGGCCCCGTTGCAGAAAATTATAGTGAATCACATCAGCCGCTAACCACCATACAGTACCCATGTTTTTTTTGTGAGTTTTCGCCTTTGAAATGTGCCTGCTTGGCTCATCGGTGTCCAACTTCTGTCCAGAACGTCTCCTGTCTGTTCGAGCCTAAATACACTTTTCTGTTCTGTTACTGGATGTCTCAAGATATCCGATTAGGCTCATAACCTCACACTCAATCCCTATTTCTATCCTGCTATCCTTCATTTAGAAATCAATGACAAACTATAAATTATGAATTGATTGATTTGAAATCCCTGCAAATCCCAGCAAATCCGGAATAGCAGAGCATGTTTGTTCAAAGCGTAGATCCTGTCCAACAACGCATTCAGTCAAGCTAGCGTAGAGATACGTAACATATGGAAACCTTTTGTCAAGCAAAAAACGACCAAACGGTCATCTCCCGCTAAAACCAATGAAGCGGAGTGAGGGAAGAGAGGATTGGTGAAAGCACTCAAATGATAAATAGTCGGATCTCGCAGGAATAAGTCCAGTTATCACCTGAAGATGATTGTGGATACTAACAATCTAAAAGTCGTGACGTAACTTGGTTTGGAATCTTTTAATTTTTATTTTTCATTTTTTGTTAGTAATATTTTTCAATTTTCAGTTTTGGGTAATATTTCAATTTGTTATTTTTTTGGTTGTTGGCTTGTATGTTATTTCTTCGTTATTTCAGTTTTTTTATTTAATAAAATTGTTATTTTCGGTTAATCTTATTAATTTTTTATATTTTTTTCAGGGATTTCAAATCAATTTATATTATATTAGACAATGGAAGTCCGAACTGATGAAATACACCACGAAACATTGTCAACCACCTTCAAACAAACGTTAAAGGCATCTATTATTATCATTATTATATTATAAAATTCTGGGCCGTATAATGTACTCTCCTCAGATGGTTGCCTCCTAGAAAGTTGTATATAACTTCTTTGGATAATGTCTTCAAGAGAACTCATTGAGTGGCTCAAGTATTTTGAAAATATTCTAGTACCGTTTGAAAAAACATCACGTCGTGGCCAAGTATCTCCAACAATTCCTTGAGGCCGTGTTTATTGAATTTTCTCTCCTATGAAATTCCCCTAGTTTTCATTCGTTCATGTACTGGGATAATATCATTATATTCTACCTTTCATCATTCTTTTCGGTTTCTTAATTGAATCCAATAAAACACTCGCTCTGTCTCAACTAATTATTTCAGAAATTTTAAATAATGAAATTAAAAGTCTTTTACTTAATTATTCTTAGAGATTCTCTCCACGAAAGAGGAAACGGAAGTAATTTCAGAAAGTTCGGAAAGTTAATTATGCTGCATATTCTGCTCACGATAAACAGAATACCCTTCTTCAAAGAGAGTTTTTGTGAAGATAGATATAAATAATACGGTATTTGTACCCATCTTTAGATATTTCAAATACATCAGGTGATATTAAGATGCGACACAATGGCACATCAGCTTGTAACTAATAAAAATGATCATCAATAAATTCACTATAACGAAAGTATGTTTACAATCAGTCTTAAGATAGGTGAGGTCTTATCTACCTGAAGACAACGAATACAAAAGAAAAGTAGCACCTCAACCTTCAAAGTGAAATAAAACCGACGCAGTTGCAAACTTTTTTCATCACTTGTGTCGCATGGAAGTTTGAGGTCGCTTGAATAGTTTTGTAACTCCTATGATATTATTTCAAATTATACGGTGTAAAGGGCGTCAGTTTCTCAAATATTGTTATCGTACAAGAAGGCATCTCAATATATCCCTTGTTCTACGAAGCAAATTCGTTTCAACTCTCCACACAAACCTGAAACTTCCTGCCCAAAATTTCAATACTACTTGTACAGTTATAACTTGGTAACGTTCTGTAGACTCAGTTACGAATTTTCAGTCTTATGATTGTTCCTAGAAGTGATAACTTCTTATGAGAGGGTGAACCGCTTCTTTGCATAATTCGTTACAGCGCCTGTCTGTCTGGCTTCCTTTTTTCTCACGCATACGGCACCAGAAGGCAGGCTCCCCTTCTCTCATCAGATAGACGAGATAATTTTTCGAAACTCCTTTAGATACCTACCGATAAGTACTTCCATGGCAAGTTGTAAGTCAGTGATTCTGAAGATTGGATAACAATCTTTGTGAATGAGCTGAAAAAAAAAAACTGTCATTATTTTCACTACTCAAAACGGCTATTGTGTGCTTTCGAAACAATTTTTTGAAGAGACATATTATGATATTCATCAAACAAACTAGATTTTTCACTTATGTAATCTACTTTTGTTACAGACCAGTCCAGATCGTAATACCACAACAAGCGTTTTAACATTCGTTCCAACTGTAGAAGACGGTGGAAAGTACTTGTCATGCAGAGGACAGCAACCACAGATACAAGATAGTGGTATTGAAGATGGATGGAAACTAGATATACATCGTAAGTACCGAACTATTATGTAGAGAAATGATATACTTTCCCCGTTTATGAGGTATTTTCAATCAGTGCTCAACGGAAATAGCACTGTTTGCGTCACTTTGGATCTGATTTAAAACTCATCAATGAATTACTGATTGTAAGTAGATGATGTTATTGTTCAATGAAAATAATATTGTAAAATTGCATTCGTGGTTTAGCCTAGCATCGCTGATGATGATTTGGCGCCATCTGGTGTTGAATTACGGATGCTTTGTTTGGGCACTGGTTTCATCTATTTGCCTTACAGTGGAAACTGTTGTGAAATATACAGGTCGAATCTAATTAGAAGTGATCGCATTGGGGATCCTCGTTCCTCTTCAATATACGTGGATTGAATCTTCTGTCCATCGCATAGATAGCGTCTTCGTAAGAAGAGATGACTGAGTCTTATTATTCAAAGAGAGTTGGTCCAGCAATACACAGGGTTGCCACTGCTGTTACTTTCAGCATGGTCCTGCTGCTGGGATGTTTCTTTTCCGCCTGTGGCTTCATTCACGAGATGGAGCTGTTTCTAGTTTACAATCTTCCTCTTAGACGAAAGTGTCATACATGCAGTCGAGCCGCCTCAAAATAATGGATTCCCATCTGGCACTTTGCTGTTTGGGTCGAATATTTCCTGCACTGATGGAAGGTAATACCTCAAAATCGGTATGTAGGTGATCTACTCAAATAATTTCAGCATGGTGCTGCTGCTGAATGAACGAGAAACATCTGCGAGATATAATTCAAAATCCAGCATGATATTAGCCGGAGAAATAGTTGTTTTTCCTGCAGGCATTCACCGAAATCTACCGTATAGGTAGTTTTGACAGATGAATATTTTGAGAACTCATTTCGTAATATATTTTTTCTTATACGTATCTATTTCTCTACGATACAGTTTTTAGATACGTTTTGATCTCTGTTTATAATCAATTTTTAGATGGATATTTTGTCCATGGAATGGAAGTATTTTGTATTTTCTTAACAGATAGAATTGAATGGAACATTCAACTTTCAAATAGATCTTTTTGAAAAAAAAATGTGTGCCTTTTGCACCTGTATAAAATATTAAGTAAGTCGGGAAAATTCTTGCTCCCTCAGAGCTATCTCGGCGTGCGCTGCCGTTGGAGTTAATGCAGATAATGTATCTTAAAATTGTTCATCTTAAATAGTTCTAACTGAAAGTCCGCGATAGAATATATCTACCTCTTATATGGTAGCCACTGTATGTAAAATACTGTGCCATAAATATAATTAAACTGGATACTTTTTTACAATGCACATATCAGAAAATCTGTCAAAATCTTATAAAAATTGATACAATTGTCGTTTTGAGTATTTAAAATAGATGAACTTCGTCTCTTACACTAAGTTATTTGGACGAATCGTCAACTTGAAGCAATGGAGTAAGCCACTACGCTTCGCGTCTACTGTAAGACGACGGAAAACGATGTGCGGGTGTAGAGAGGCGGTCTAAGCAATGAAGCGTCATCGTCGAGAACACGACACGAACGCGGGCAGACACATGAGGACTGACGTCGTTGACGGTTGTGTTAGTTTTGCGAATTTTCTCATTGGTAACATAATTCGATTCTCCGAATTCCAGTTACTGTATTTTTAAAGTTAAAATATAAAATACCAACTGTTGCCCCCTCTTATATTAACGTACAGCCGAATGAGCTACTGAACCTAGAGTCTTGAAGTATGCAGGTAGGTTCTTTGTATGGCCTGAATAAGTATCAGGAAAGGAAATCAGGAACTGTCATCTCAAGGGGGGAAAAATAGAGATTGTATTGAATTTCGTCAGTTTTGAAGTTGGCTTGATAAAAAAATATTGTTACTATTTGTTTGAAAAGGTCTGTCACGTAATGTAATGTGACAAAACAAATTCTACATGGGCAAAGCCGCGGGCAAAAACTAGTTCAAATATATTTTCTAGTCTGTATGTATAACGATTGCAATGTGCCATAAAAAATCACCGTGTATATTTTTTCAATATTTTCATACGTATGATAATTGAAATTGATGAATGTTCTGACCCGATAACTATGCAAAATGTGCGTTTTGACAATTATTTGTGGGGACTATTAAATAACTAGCACGAAGGGCACATTTCGCCTATTAATTTTGGTTTTGCGTGCTTCCATTATACGTAATTTGTTTGTTTTTCAGACCGAAATTTACGTTCCGGCACTTGACATTACTATTATCGGAGAAATAAATGATTCCGTTCAGGAATCTGACGAATTATTTGACTCTGATAATGACGGGTTATGAATAAATTGAAATTGAATTAGTGCGATATGGAACAACACAAAACTGGGTTACATGTAGTGTAACACTAGCGTAGGAATAAATTGGTACTGGTGTGACTTCTTTGGGATTATATATTTTTGTTAATTGCTAATTTCCAATAAAACACGATATCACTTCTGTGGTTCTTTAATAATCGACTGCCTTGGTCGAACATCAACGAGCAAAAGGGAGAAGTAAACCAATATTATTACAATATTACCAACTGACAAGTATTGCCAACTCAACACACATGTACAACACTGTTGCCACAGCTACCCCGTACGGGGTAGTTCTACCCCTCTTGAACTCAATTTCACCGTCTCGCTCCCCTTAAGTAAATCTATTCCGCTCAGATATAAAACAAAAGAATGTAAAATAAAAATTGAAAAAATGAACAAATATTTAGGTTTGATTTTGAATCTACCGCGTTACACGAGCCGAGTAGCCTTGACAACGTTGGCGTAGACTGAGTGTCTGGCGCCGCTGGCGGCGGTTCCTTGGGTTATGACTTACCTACTGTAAGACATATTAAGGTTATGTCGATGTCTTACACCGATAGTTCCGATATTCTGTGACTGAGTACTGAGTTACACTACAATACTCTTCTGCTCTTCCAATGATGCCGTGTGAAATGTTATTTGATGTTTGTAACATGACATTCGACATTTTTAGTTAAAGTTGAGAACGTAAATGTGGAAATGTTTATATTATGTGCAATCTCAGTCTGTGATGTAAATATATGTATAGTCGTAACCGTATATGTGTAGTCGTATGTAACCGATATTGTACACTATTAAAGTTTCCAGCACCCTCAAAGGTCATAAAAACCAACACATAGAAATGAACCGGCAGCATTTCTATGTGTGGACTGCACACTTGGCGTTTCGTATTGGATAATTTTTACTAACCGAGTTTTGTGATTGGTTGGAGAGTCATAAAATTAAATTTGAAGTCATGTTACGGTGACGAATAGAAATCATGGAATGCGGCCCTTGGTTATCGCCGTCGTGTTCAGTTCAGGAACTTATCGCGGTGTCATCATGGTGTCATCATGTGAATGTGGATCCACCCCGGTTCTACCTCACTTCCTTCCAGAAATCTACCTCGATGAAAAAATGGCTTGTGGCAACACTGATGTACAATAACATTAACACCGGACATTGCGAAAATGAGATAATAAGCGAGGAGGGATACTTTCGATCGAAGATCTCCGAGTTTTGATTTTTCAGTGTTTTTATACTATTTTCTTACAAATCATCCTATCCAAAAGATATACATCAAAACACATCAAATGCCATCATATGGAAAGGTTACTGCAGGCATCAAAGTGGAGATCTTGTATCTTGAACATGCCACAACCTCAACTGTAAATCATGCTCTGAAGAAAATAACGCCCGGCGCCACTGATAACCATAAACCAATTGTGACGTAGCTGGGAGCGCGCGAATTTCGATGTTCGCCCATCGCCCATCAAAACAGTCAAGTGGAAGTTACAGTGCGGTACGCGGAGCGATCTAATAAGGCGATAGAAATTCGAATAATAGTTGAGTTCATTTGAAATGTCGACCAACCAATTGGAATCTCTTCAGTCTGAAGGTACGGCTACGAGCTATCTGAGAAGATCAAGACAGCGTCTCCTGGCAGGTAGATGCAGTTAGTCTTGGTAGGGCTTCTGCCTGAAAGTGTCACAGTAGACTCGCCTATTCCAAAGCCTGACGTACTAATCGCCGATCAAGTCCTACCAGACTCAGCAAAATGTATCACGGTCGACAACCTAGGAGAGCTTTTTTCTTCGCAAAGAAATTCGGGCTCTGGTTGTTGAATAAGTTTATGGTTCCTTGGAAAATTTTTATGTTATGAAGTCGTAATAATATGATTGAATTGGGTGTTTTTTCTTGTTATCTCGGAATATTATCCAGATTGGTACTAATGAGGCGTCAGTCCATCAAACCTTGTGTGTAGGTATATGGAGACTGGCCTGAACGTTTAAAAATCATTTGCTTTAGATTTGTTGACTGCCAGTCTTCAAGCATAGCCCACTGACTAATAAGAAAGTTTTTCTTCCCTATTCAGAGGAATTGGGCAAACTACGGATATGCAGTTGGTTAGTACCTCGTCCACTAGATGGAGTGACATTTTGTGATGTTCGCTCCAACTTCGGAAGAGGAATGAAATACTCTGAAAGAATTCCGATTTTCAATTCTGGAATATCGTTGACTATAGGTCGATGATGGTCACTATCTTGCACTGACGAGTGGCTAATGAGCCCTAAACCGGTCCGCAAGTGTGCTCGATCCAAAATTGAGGGTCGACTCTTTCAGTTGTATTGCCAATTGCATATGCAGGAAATTTTCTGTAAAGATTCCTGCACTGATGCCTGTCGGATATAATCCAACGCCCTTCGTGGTATTAGCCAGGGGAGTAGTTGTTTTCTGATAGGCGTGAGTCCATTAAACCTACTGTGTAGGTATATGGAGACTGGCCTGAACGTTTAAAGTTCATTTGCTTCAGATTTCCAAACGTGGAAAAATTATGTTCACAATAGGTATAAATTTTGTGGATGACATAAAATCATTATAAATGATAATTCACAGAGTTGTTTACAGAATCGTTATTTTCGGTTTTCAACAATTTGAACACCCTTCAACCGTTTTCAATTTCGTTTATAGTTTCATCACCAATAG